GCGAAAATGACGACGATTACTGCAATGACACCAACCACAAAAGTAGTTGTCGTGGACGCTTGGCTTTGGTAGCTATTATCAGCAGTTGGAGACGTAGACTTGCTTTGGTAGCTACCCGTAGTTGAAGACGTAGACGTAAATTGATTTGTATTTTGACTCGGTGCTATCTTTGTAGTTGGCAATTCTATGATAAAGAATGCTACAGAGCTGTTTCGATTATCACGACTTACAGTACACGAGAAATTTTTGCCGTCGTAACTGCTTTTTACATTATCGAAAGTAAGTACATTTTTTTGGTCTCCCAATTTATAGAGTTTCTTCGTTGATGCATCTATGATTTGGGAATCAACCATCCAACGGTAATCATAGTTATCGGTATTGCTGTTCACTAAGCATGTCAAGTTAAATTTTTTACCAACTTGAATCGGTCCTGGTGGTATTTTCTCAATCATTGCGTTTATAGATAATATTAGTGGAATGGTTGTACACTGTCCAATTACTTGACTATTGTACATGGCTCGGCAAGTAAAATTAACTCTGTCGTCTGCCGTACTTAGAGTCTTTGTATATACAGCTGAAGTAGACCTATATAATATAGATGATGGTTCACCGTTTCTAAACCACTGTAAATCTACCTCAGTAAGATCTGAAGAACATTCTGCGAAGCTTTCCAACACACCCTGATCAATCCCTGTGCATGTTAGCGTGTTTACTTTACATACATTTGAGGTTTGCCATCCAGATTGATCGGGGTTATAGATTTCACACCTATATCTCCCAACATCACTAGAATTAAAAGATGAAATAAAAAGAGTTGATGAGTTTGATTCGATCGACAGTTTATATTTAGTGTCTGAACTTTCAATTTCTTTATTTGGCACATTATCTGAAAAAAAGTACCATCTGAAAGTATGTCCAGAAACCAACATAGGCGTCCACGTACAGTTTAAGTAAACAGTTTGTCCTTCAATAGCAGCGACAGGCGTTGGATGTTTTAGAAAAGTATAGGAATCCACAAAACAACTGTAGATAATACAATGAAAAACAATCACAAGCATGTAAAACATTGTAGAACAATTTCATTTAAACATTTAAGGAGTCATCATTAATGTATGATGTTTCTGGAAGAATGCTTTGATCTTTAGTTTATTCATAGCTATGTCACCTACTAGAGGTAATGTTTTGATTGGTTAAACACTTTTGGTCTTGCGCATATAAGCTTGCAAATATGGATAATTTTTCATTCCTACTGATGACATAATTAATGTCGATATTGAATCCCGACACAATAGCGTGCATTTCGATACTTGGAGTATGTACTATCTATACTATCTTATCTGAGATTAATCAGTGGCAGTTCTGTATAGAAAAAGTTCATCAACTACATCGAAATTCAATCAGTGGCGGCGCTACGGGGTGGGGTGCTAGATCCCCCGGTCGGGGAGAAAAACAAATTTTAAAAAGTTATATATCTATTGTACATATTAATAGATTCTATAAACGATTAAATAAGCCTTTGAAACCCCTAAATTGTTATATTTTGGGGTGCTACGTCCCCTAGACCACTTTCGTAATGTTTTCAGTGACGCCTGACCACGCCAACTTTTTTCTCGTCGTGGACATCAGCCCCCCCCC